TAAGGCATCTGACTCCATGCCACAACTGACTACAACATGTTACAGCTGGCCAGGCACAGCTGAAGATAGAGTTGGACATGACAAAGCAGGGTAAGACAGGGGAGTCTCCCCAGGGAGCTTCCCGAGGAACCAAGCAAGGTCTCCTCTACCTCAATGTTCTGCATTGCCTTGGTTATAAGATTGATTAAGCAAAATGTATCCACATTTTGCAATAGCAATATATGTAGACTTCTGTAAGGCATCTGACTCCATGCCACAACTGACTACAACATGTCACAGCTGGCCAGGCACAGCTGAAGATAGACTTGGACATGACAAAGCAGGGTAAAACAGGGGACTCTCCCCAGGGAGCTTCCTGAGGAACCAAGCACGGTCTCCTCTACCTCCTGATGGAAGCTGCCACTCAGAACAATCTGAAACTTTTACGTTTGGACCATTACCCTGTTCAAGTTACTTCACTAACTAGTGAAGGCCACTTCATATCTTAAATCTATCTGAGCAAAAATCAACATATCCAAGTGAAAACCTTCATTGTAAACAAGGATTGAAGGCTACAGAACAGGAGGTCCACACCCATTAAACATAAGGTACTGATGTGCCATGATAGCAACAAGTGATGTGCATTATAAGAGTGTGACACAAAGCTGAAGGATGGTTTTTACATGCTATTATTGAGAAAACTAGGGTATTGTCTTTGAGATCTCCAATTCAGAAATTAATTTAAAAAACAGCACATATACCTGTGCTGTATGCAGTGTCAATATATGCTCTAGACAAAGTTCCAGTTACTGGTAAAATTCAAAGATGTGACAGTGCATGTAGATGACCCAGTAACTCTTCCAAGCCTTAACTGCTGTTTGAGAAGTTCATAATGCCTTTATTTTTAGCTATAGAGTTCAACTATGAGACATTAAAGGCAAAGTATAACATGAAACAGATATTCATACCCATCAAGACAGATACGCTTTTTTTCGGTCAAGAGACCTCTCACAACTTTTCAGTCTGAAATCTCATGGGTTAATCCCTCACTCTACTGTTCTGTTCCCACTCTGCACTGTTATTCTAGTTAAGCCACGTCAAACCTAGGTCAGAGGCAACAGAAGAAAGCGACATTAAACACTTCTGCACTTGACTCCTCAAGGCCTGCAAAATTACAGACAAACACAGAGAGAAATGTTAATCTGAATGGCAACGCAGTCATAAAGTACAAAAAAACCCAAAACTTCCCAGTGAGTCACTTTGGGAAAGCCAGATCAGTAATATCTCTTCAACCTCCCACAGCCTAGAACAAGATGTTCCAGAGATCAAGCCCACCACCACGACAATGTGCCCATGACACACAGTATCATAAATGATACACTATCTAGTATTATTTATTATTTGTATATTTAGAGGTGACAGAATTACCAGTCTTATCCTAAGTGCATTAGAAGTACTTGATAAAAGGAATTATATATGTGTTCTTCACAGTACCTGTGAGCACAACTCCAACCTCGTTTCTCCTTTCACATTACACAGTTTGATGCTGCTTATCTCTAAACACCCTGAAGACATTAAATAAATACTAGAAACAGGATCCTAGCCCCAGGTACAAGGTACGTATTTGGACAGGCACACCTTTCCTGATCAGTCAGCACTTTCAAAAGTCAGAGAACATTAATTTGACCACACAAATAAAGACTAACAACTAATTAATGAATTGGGGACCATCACTCCAGGGTATTCAAATAGGAGGCCTCACAGTACTAGCACATACAGCACAAACACCTTGAGGATACTGATCCTTTTGCACCCACCACCCATCTTGTTAAGACATCCAAAAGTATAATGCCCTCTCTTTGTATTTATACCTGGCCTTGTACAGTTCCATATTGGATCAATGATTCCTGTTTTCATGTGTACACAAATAATAAACTGCAAAAAAGTCCATTTTTAATACTGGAATGTCACAAGTATTTCCAGTCTCTCTCAAAAGTTCACCTACAGAATGCAGAGACAAAAAGAACACCTGAAGCAAATTCACAGCAACTCAAATACTTAGTACTGAACCTGAAGGTAAATGAGAACAGAAGATCATCCTGAATTTTAGTCTGACTGCTGTTCCAAAACACACATTTTATAATTAATAGTAACTATTTCCTAATGCAATACTTCATTTCAGTATAATTAATATTTCTCCCCCAATTCCTTACAGCTTCATTAGCTGGTTTTCCCAACTAGCAGTTTAAGGGTTTGGGATCATGGCTGTTCATTTATACAAACAGTCTCTGCCCAGCTTGATCTTAAAAACAAACTTTAGGGTGCAGCACTTGCCATTGAAATTTAGAACAGGCATTAGTCAATCAGCTGCTTCAAACTAGATTGCTGATATTTTGACAAAGTTCAGTTTTTCTACACTAGTTTCCATAACATCTGGTATTCAGTTGAACATGAATTCAAAGTGTTATAGTGATGGCTAACAAAATCAAAACACTAGTTTAATACTCTGAACAAATAACTGATTTTAATATGTTTGTTAAAAAAGGTGCATTAGAAATGTTAAAAGACCATTCACAGCATATCTGACTATTAACATACACATCTGAGCTGTAACATACTCTTATTCACAAGATAAGAGAAAGCAATCTCTATCCACCACAATAGACTATGTTTTAAAATAATTTTCTCCAGAAAAGGATAGAGGGGAAGAAATCATTGAAAAAAATTGTTAGCTACATAGCAAAACAAAAATCTCAAACCCTTAAAATAGTCCAAGCATTCTTGGCTAAATCGCTTGAGTGAATCCAAAGTATGATACAAAACAACAGACAAATACATGACTGAAAAAACTCTGGAGACGAGGTGGGTTTTGAGACACCTTTGATCATTTAAAGGGAAGGCTTCATTGCTCTTGTAAAATTACTTACACAGTAAGTTTAGACCTATCCTGGATTTTTCTCAACTTCAGTCATTTAGCTGTGAGCCTGCAGATCAGACTGAAATTTAACTGTGTCAAGCCACGAGGCTCTCTTTACTGGAAGCACATCAAGGTTCTCACATGAAATCTGATCATCAGCACAGCAGGATTAATGACAGAGGTGGTCAGGCTGATAAAGCAGCAGAACAGAAACCTGCTTAAATGAGTTTGGAACTGCACCTACGATGAAGTTGTAATGCATCCTCACCCCTTCGTGCCAGAACTGCAGAGCTCTGCTGATGCAAAAGAAAAGAGTTTATCACTCAGTCTCTGCCTGCAGGGAGACTGGTTGTTTCTGTGAAAACAGACACCAGATACTCAGACTACCACCATCACTCCCACAGGAATGCCACCAACTCCATCCAACACCTTGGGATGTCTACTTTAGCTCACTGCAAAGGAGAATAGCAGGGGAAGGTTTTTAAAGAATTAGAGGATTTTTTATGTACATAAAAATAAACTGGGTATCAGGGATTTCTCTCAAGCAACAAATTATCAAATTAATCGCTTACTATGAAGGCTGGAAATTATTTTTTACTTTTAGCTACCTTTTCCCCTCCACCTGAATTCTGAAATTCTCACAAGTAACCGAGGTCTGTTATTTCCTAGTTATTTAGACACGACCCAAGTCTATTGGTACCTTTATATATGGCACAGCAGCTTCACCATAGAAGTTGTAACAATGCATTCCAGTAAGATACAGAACTTTAAAACATTTAACATTAGAAAATATCTCCACACAAAACTAGTTGCTACAAACTGCATTACAGAAAGTTTTCCAAACAGGGAAATAAGACAAAAAACAACAAAACAAAAAACACCAAAAAAACCCTTGTTTTCAACTGTTACAAAAGCTGGCTTTATACAGAAATGTCCTACACTGAGTCTCCTACACATCCCAAATAAAGTTCTTCATGTCTAGCCATTTCAAAGAATTAAAAACTTGTGTTAGTGAAAACTAAAATCTCATATATCTAGCTAAACAGAAAAACTTCTGTGGAGTGACTTGCCTTTACACAAGAGGAAATATATACATGGAGATCTCAATGCCTTTGGGTATTAAAGCAATATTAAAAGAATTTCCATTTTCTAACGCAGGTATCTATTTACAGCAATAAAACTGGATAAAAAGTTTTTTGGTTTAACTTCAATAAAAAAACAGATGAATTGTCATGGAATGGACATAATATACTGTAAGATTGTTTCCATTTCAGTGAAATGCCAGAAAACTATGTGGAGGGTAACTCCATACAAAGTCAGGAACTAGAACAAGGAAAGAAACTATTTTTTCAATGCCTGAAAGACAACTCCATGTCCTGTTCCTCTACAATAAACCTTACAAGAACAGTCAGAGCAGCAGAAACACTACCAGCACTATAAAACTGTATTTGTCAAATTGATTTAAAAAGGTCTTTTCTATGTACCACATTTATAGCAGCAAGCCACTGATAACATCAGATTTTTTCATTAATATTATTTACTTCCAACCAATCTGACTATTGGAGTTGGAAATGTGGCATAAGCAGCAAAGGAAACAGAGAAGAGCAGTTAATTGTATTGTAATTTCATTGCAATAAAATATGTGGTTCCAAAGTCAGCAACCATGTATGGAACTCCTTAACACATGCATCTAAATGTTGTAAGGCAAAGACTACCAAAGTAATGTGTACCATCCCACAAAACCAGCTAAATTAAAGACATTTACACTCACATATGGGAGAATCAACATCCATCAATGTTTAACACTACATGAATGCAAAAAGACATGGCAGAGGTCAAAAAATAAACCAATTATTTTTAGCTTTTTCTCTTTCTCCCAAAAATCTCTGCAACTCCTCAAATAAATTATAAGTGACAAAAAAACAGCTGGAAGAGTGATTGAAGAAATATTTAGAGCCTGAAAGTTCTTCATCAGTCACCCATTTTGAGTGAATAAAGGACTATAATTTGACTTCAGTGGAAAGTACTTTGCCTGACAGTCTTGTACATTCTCATCATCAAACATGAAGCAACCAACATTGAGAGGAAAAAACTGAACACACACCTTGAACACCTCAGAGAAGAAACCAGAGCCAATTTTCTCACATGTGAAATCATCAAGACGAGTAAGTCTGGAAAAGGCACTTATCAGGGCTCTGTATGAAGAGGTACAAACTCTTCCCAGCTGGGATGCAGTCCCTTCTCCAGTGGTACCATCAAAGTCTTCAGCGCGCTCCAAGCGTGGTGGAAATCCTGCTATTGAGTTCCGCTTACTTCGGTCCATTTTGAAACCAAGATTTTATTTCACTAAGGGAGGACTTCTCACATCTTAGGTAATTTGCTGTCTTCTCTACTCTTGTTGGATCCTAAAATACAGAAAATTGAGATTATCATTATTGTGAAGGTATCTAACTGGTCTGATAGGACTGCAATAAAGCTTACACCCATTTAAGCGAGTAAGAAAAGAACGAAGATATCCAAGCAGGGGCACAAAACACAAAGAAATAAAACAAACCACCACACAACATCCACAGTAAAGACAGCAACCTAATGAACTTTTCCTTTAGATCCATGGAAATATCCTATGCTCAGGCTATTCTGAGACAAATAAGCTTGGAACTCAACATTTAACTGCTAACAACTTTCATTCCCTTCCCCAACCTTTTCTTTTTTGACTTAAATTCTGGTTGCTACAGCAAGCAAGGGAGCAGGAGGAAACCCACAAAACGTAACATTTTATTCTACTTCAGTTGCAGCTGGTGACCAATCTACTGCTACAGCAAAAAACTATTTCACTTTCAGGAGTGAACAAGGGATCTCTAACTATTAAAAAATGTTTAAAAATTTTCAATCGGCATAAGGAAAGTTATTCACTTGAAGCATCAAAATCTTGGTTTTAAAGCTTCCATTTATGAGTGTTCCAATACCAGTTCTTTACCTGGTAGGAACACAAGGTTATACCCACTGAACATCTAGCCCCCAGATTTCTAAAAACACCAATAATTCTGCTACAAAGTAGTCTTATAACAATCTGCCAGACAAATTTTCCTCACAAAGATATTTTTAAAGCTATATTAATTTCAGTTGAACTGAAAACACAGGAAAGAAACTACATTTGCCAAGTAGGAGAAAAGGGGGAAAAAAGGAGGGGGACTAATAATTTTCTCTTTTTAAGAGGATGATGAAGTAATCAGGATGACTCTGGAGCCCATCAAATTCAGCTTGGACTGGCAAACTTGACAGGTATTTTAATATTGGTATTTTAAAAATTTAATTATAAAATACAGGGGTTTCTTTTTCTTTAAATCTTAGACTTAAGAGGTTATTCATCTACTCCAAACTTCACTGTTCATTTATAGCAATTTGGTGACACTTACAAAGCCTGAACAAAGTGAACAGTCACAAAGAAGATACCTTTTTTTTTTTCACCAAGGGTGAATGAAAAACTAGAGGGAGGGAAAGGAAGCAATAAAATAATTTTTAAAAAGGTGGGCAAAATAACCACAGAGCAGGCAATTGCACTCCTATTTACAAAGATGTACAGAACCTGAACAATACAGTACATTTGAAAAGCATCTCAAAAACAGAGGCACACCAGGTGTCCTCTGAAAACACAGCAGTGCTGCTCTAACTTGCTGTGTTTTGCAGGCAGTGTATCTTTTAGAGATGCTCTGTGCCAACACATCAGGCAAACACACAGTCCTTCCCTGCTTTCAGAAATAAGTTCTGCTGAACTGTCTGGAATTAATTTGAGTTGTCCGCTCCAAAAGAGAAGGGTGTTTATTTCAAACATCTTAACACCTCTCTAAATGGATGTCTGTGGGTATAAGGGACTCCTACCAAGGCATGATGATGAAAATTTCATCTCTATCAAATCCCACATCATGATTTTCCTACACAATTTTGTATGCAGACTCCTACATGCCTAATCTTACTGCCCTTTTCAGATTACTGTGGCAAACTGGCACTCAGGAAATCAGGATCCAGTTTGTGATCTCATATTCTGACTCAGGAGCCTTGAGGGTCTGCAGAAGGCACAGAAGCACCACAGGAAGATTCAGCCTGTTATATGTCCTCAATGGAGAAAAATAGCCCAGAGAACCTCCTCAGCTACAGACAAGATGCCTGAGAGTTTCCAAGGCCCACTTAAATAATTCCTTTTGATCTGAAAAGGACAAGCTATATTTTGGTTACTTTTCACAGAGATACAGAAAGAACTGTCTATGGAAGGAGAACAGACAGAGGAAACCATGGTATTAACAACTAATTTTTTGGATCAGAAGATGCTATCTTTGAAGACTGACCAGAAAACCTACTGTAATTGAAGGAACATTGTTTACAACTTATTTTCATCAGAGTAGCACCCACATGCACCAGACACTTTCCATGGAAGGAAGGAAGCACAAAAAGCTCAGAACCCCAGAATAAATCCAGTGAGAAAACACATCTACACTGCAACCCAGCAAACTAAAGACTACAAACTCTCAGACAAAGCAAGATTAAAAAATGAAAAAAATAAGACTGCTGTTGTTTTAACTAGAGGAAGATGGACCAAGTTAGATAAGCAGTATTAAACAGGAGGAAAAGCCTAAATCTCTTAAGTATCCCAACACCATTAACAAAAGATGGACTCAACACAGTTTCTACATCTATTTAACAAAGGAAAAAATCTCCCTCACACATATACACATCCTTTTGATTGAAATCACATGGTGAACTTTGTAAAACTCTGTACAAATTCCACAATGAGAGAAGTGATTCACTGTACTTCACACAAAAGAAAAGTCCAAAAGGTTTTGCCATCTGGATTCCCAAGTAACCCATTCCTTCACTTTTTGCCTGCTAGAGTTTACCTTTCCAGACAGCTACACAAAATCCTTGGAAAATATTAGGATACAGCTCCATTATCTTGCCCAGGATTGCCTACACAGAATTAGAGGAAAATTTCAAGTGGGCACAATTCCAAGTGGGCCTCCTGTCATTTTGGCCAATTACACTAATGATCACATTCTCAATGAAATCAACCAAGGTTTAATTGACTGTCAAGTCAGTCTGAGGTACTTTAATTTACTACCTTGTATGGTTAATTAAAGTGCACTGAAGAGAATCCAAGACTATCCTGTAAATCCTGTAACCAACGAAAAGGTTGTTGGGTGTTTTTTTTCCCCACATTAAGGTTCAGCTTAAAAACTCTTAATCTGTGCTCAACAGACAGTTAAAAGACACTACACACCAGAAAACACATTTCCTAATAAATTCTCAGCTTCCAGAACAATTTTTCTAACACTCTTATTCAAGACAAATGCACCCCACTCTGCCGAGACCAAAGTAATTCTGAAATTTACCTCTCAAAATGTGTATCTGCCCTATTCAGCCATTTCTCACATTTCTAAAAAGCACAATTCAGAACACTTCATGCCCTACTACACTTTCAGTTCTTCGCTTACCAAAACACACCTTGAAGGAAAAAAAAAATCCATATTAATATTATATTAAGATCAGTTTCTTCACTGAATTAGTGCATTGATTGTTTAATCATAGTAATTACTATAAATACAACTATTATCAGCATTAATTGGGTTAATTAGACATTTACCTTTCAAAACCAGTGCTGGAGCCTGCAATTATTTAAAGATGGAAACCCCACAAGACCACATCAAGTTATTCCTTAAACATCAGTGTCAAACTAACAGGTGGCATATATTAGCCAGAAATTAACATTTTATCTTCAGAGATATAAAAATGGGTAAGGCTCCTCAACTTCAGCAGCATCCCTTTTATGCCTCAGAGTATAAAATAAGATCCTTCCAAAAAACATTTCAATTCATTACTAAGAGGTTTTCTGTCCCCAGTATCTTTATAAATATGTGCATATTTGCACTCAAATGTCAAACTCACAATTTCCTAAAAGATGGCCCTAATAACAACAACCATTTTTAGACACAGAGACCGTCGCTAGGCATTCAGCCTGCAAAGCAATAAATCTGGCAGAAGCATGTTATTAATTTGAAAAGATTTTCTGAAGAACAAGATGCCAAAGCTTTGATGAAAGTAATTTGCCAAGAGTTAACTATTTCAACCTGTTGTCTGATGAAGCTTCAACAGCCAGCACTACAAAAACATAAAGGAATTAAAGGAATTATGCTGGCAAGTGGCGCTCCACAAAATAATAACTCAAAGGGGAAGAAGACTTCACTGTAGTACTGTGCAAATTTCAGAAGGGCTTCTAAGAAATGTAAAGAAGAAACTTCTCCAAAGACTGAATTGACTGAGGTCCTTAGCCTGATGGAAAAAAAAATAAAAACAAGGGAAAATGCTTAAATATGAAACCCAAGAATTAAAACTGAACAGGTAAAGAGAACCAGACATTCAACAATTTTGTTCTCAGCTGCTGTCACCTACTCCCCTAACAGAGGAAAGTTCCTTGGCTTGTCCATAACTTAGCTTCTTGTCCTTGAGAGGAAAACAATATAAAATATTTACAGATGAGGTAGTTACAAATACCAGAGCTTGGTTTATGTCTGGCCCAGCTCATCCTGAACCTGAAGTCTTTTTGACTACTTCATGGGACAAGTCTTGAGGTTCAATTTATAGTCTTAGTTACAACAGTGCATTTGAACATGTAAATCCCAATATTTTCTACGTTCACTCACATGACATTTTGCTTTAATTGCATCTCCCTTGTACAGGATAATTCCCAGCTCTAGCCAGTACTGTCATAGCATAAGCTTCCTGCAAACTAGGACTGACATTCCTCAGAAGAGACCTGCATTAGCCCTACTGCACCACTCCAGAAAGTGGAAGTCTGCTGAACTGCATCATGGTTTTATAATGCAAACAAACCTCCAGGAGAGGCTAAGCTGAAACAAACAGTTCATTTATTTTGTGACTGTAGCCAGCTTTGAAATGAGTAAGAGAGACCAGCTATTACTGCAGAGCTCAGGATTCAGGGCCAAGGTTGTAGCTTTAAAAATATTTTCAGCAGGCATAGGCATAATTTCTAGCACATATTTAGAAGGCAAATATAATTGAGGGAAAATATTAAAAACTCACAAACAAACAGAAAACTACTTGATCCTTACGCCCACAGTGTAATTACCAGCATTTTCTAGGGTCCAATTACAATACAAAACTGAAGCTCTAGGAAGGACCTTGCAACAATCCATTCCTCTCCTAGCCTGGTTTCAGTCACTCCAACCCACAGAGCATCGTTAGAGTTAAATAACCACTCAAGTAGATCATGTACAAGACACAGCTGCTGCCTCAAATGGATAATTTTAATACATTATGTTTGCTTAACAAAACAGAGCCCAGTAGAGACACTGAGAAGCTGCTCATGCCTTCCAGGTATCAGCAGGCTGACATTTGCTGAGCTTTTAACAAAAAGAAAGGGAATCAAAGCCTTCTAATACCAACAGGTACTGTAACATCTCAATCGAGGAATTTCCCCCCCAGCCTCTGCTGGGTTTGCAATGAGGGCTGACAGCTCTGTTAGCACTGGGGGTTTCACGTGAGACTGGAAGCAACTTCAGTTGTTTCTATGCAGCCAGTGAGACAATGCAGAACAGCAAAGGAAAGAACACAACTGCCTGAAAGAGGGATGCAGACAAAGCAAACAGGCTGAATTTCATACCTGACTGACATCTCTGGGACACAATCTTCTATTTGTGCATCCCCACACAAGGCAGTCAATATTTGTATTTTCCAGCTTAAAGCACCATCTCCATGTATATTTAAGCCATTCTGTAGCCTACCCTTACTAAGCACAAGGCTGTTACTGGTTGCACCTTACAGTGAAACACCGAGTACCTTGTTTACTGCAGCAGCAGCTGCACAAACACAATGGCAGCACGGTCTTCACTAATTTATGACCTTTGGAAGTGAGAACAGGGCTTCCCAAACCCCTCGTTCTTAGGGTACTGCAGCCACTGATGTCTGCTGGTATTTACAAACCAATCTGAAGCTCCCTGTACAATGGACAGCACAACTCAAAGCATGAGAGCCACGGATCTGGAGTGCACAAGGTCAGCCTTCAAAAGCAAAGTTACCTCAACCCACTCCACTCCTGGCTGCAGAAGCTGTAACATTTCTCCAGTGCAACCAACAGGACAATCACATCAGAAAGTGGTTTAGCCACTACCAGCCATGTGTTCAACTTAACAAAAAGTGACAGGATCATATGAAAAGAAGCTTACAACCTAAGAAAGAAGACTTGGCAACAGACAACAGATGGAGCCAGTGTGATACAGTTGCTGATTATTAGATGGGCTTACTGATGAACACACAGCTCCAAATGAATATGTTAGGGAGCTAATAAGCAGGAAAAGGGCACTAAGAAAAAATTATGAACATTGACTTTTTTTTGATCTTGCCTAGTAGCAAAGCTCTAAAGCTCTTATTTTTGTGCCAGTTTGCAAGATGCCATGCTGCAAGAACACAGTAGAGAGCTCTGCCATTGTGCAAATGCATGGTTGTCTGCTACAGGAAAAATACAGAAAGGGAACCTATGATGCAAGTGAACCACAAGCTTCATTCTTTTCTGCAGCAGACACAGAAGCAACAGACCCCTCCTGCAACCCTGCATTTGTTTTGTGAGCCTGTGAAACCATTTGCACAAAGGATTACAATGGTAAAAGCAAATATCTGGAATTAGAGGGCATAACTAAGCTACAGGAAGCCTGTGCCACCAGAGCAGCTCTTGTGAACTAACTCTGTCCTTCCACAGCCACAAAAATATGAAGAGCTGCAGCAGGGCTTGCTCTGTAGGCCTTAATTTGTGCTTGGTCCCAACTGCCAACTGTTCATCCTAATGAAAAGCCACAAAACAAATCACAGCAAAAAACACAGGAGAGCACACACTTGCCACCAGGTAGAGGGAACACACCTTAGCATTCAGTTTAAACTACTCATTCTGCATGAAAGTTTTACACAAACCAAAAGGGACAATGGAATTACTCAGCCATGTCTACAGCTGAACACTGCAAGAATCAGAAAATGACATTTTTATTGGCATGCAACAATAATTTCCAAGGATGATGACTAAATGGAAAGGTTTATGACTAGTCCACAGGGCATGTCAGAGTTTCTCATAAAGAAAATCTTATCTTAGGTTGTAAATTCCACTGCCTAATTAAGTCCATGGAACTATAAGTCTGTTGATTTTGCAGACAATAAAATATGCTAGAACTCTGATCTCTATTTAAAAAAAAAAAAAACAATCGAAGCACAAAGGCTTCTCGTAAACTAACCTAAATGTTAGCTGTTGCTTTTTTTAGCGGGGCAAACAAAAACGTTTGAATAAAATTCAACTCAGTACTGTTCCAATTCAATTCATTACTCTTGAAATTGTAGCTTCCAACTATTACAGCACCCCTTACAGGAACACACGAGCGGAAAGTCCCGCAAAAGCAAAAACCCTTTGCTTGAAGCAAGAACCCTTCCGACCCTGCAAGGACTACCACATTAAGAGCGACCATGTGCATTTACACAGCACGGCTCACCTGAAGGCCACAAAGCAGAGATACACGCACACACTCCTGAACACTCGAGCCTGTCACCAACGCGTGATTCACGTATTCTTACAGGGCTGCACTAAAACAGTAAAACCGGAGCCAAGCCCTCACACCTCCAGGCAAGGCGAACATTCCCAAGGCGATCCCGGCGGGCAAAGCTGGCGCCGGGCGCTGCCGGACCCCTGTCCCGGGGCAGAGCGCGGCTGTCCTCACCTGCCGCGGCCCCTCCGCGCACCTGCTCCCGGCACGCCCCGCTCACCTGGCCGCAGCCCGACCCCTCCGCCCGCAGGGAGCCCCTTCCCGGCAGCGGCGCCGCTCCCCGCCGCCGGCCCGCCCGGACCTGCCCCGCGCCGCC